ACCACAGGAATCAACCAACAGGAGAAAAATGCTTCCACTTCATGTAGCTCTTCCTGTTGGGAGCAGAGTGGTGATGTGAACAGTGTTCCTGGGGGGACGCCATCTGGGGTGTGACTTTGAGCAAATCCAGGGTGTGGCTGCCGATTTGCAGGTTGCCACGACAGGAGCTGGTGTTAGCGATACCAGAGGTGGTTGGTGCCTGCCCAGCTGCCCACACCCCTGTTCCTGCAGGATCCGCTGCCTGCACGGCTTTGGATCCTTTGGAGGATGAGTGTTCACAAAACCCCTGCAAAACTCCCATCAGAAGGGGGGGGGTGTACACAGGGGAGGTGAGGAGGAAGTGAGAACCCTGCATGTCCCCCTGCCCAGTGCTCAGTGACTCATCAGGCCACCTGCCTGCCCCTGGGTACCCTTGGACCAGAAGACTTCAAAGGTGCCACACCTGGATCACGGGCTCTTTGAAGATGCTGGGATTAAAGGGCTTGGGAGCCCTAATTATCCAAGAAGCCATTCTCCCCAAGGCCTTGTTGGAGGGGCCCAGGCTGCTACATGCAGGTATCACTTCCAGGAGTTCCCCACCCACCCCGTGGGCTGCCCTCCCATCCCATCAGCCTCTCCCAGCAGCTTTCTGAACCAAGACACGGGGATGTTTGGAACGACAAAGCAATGCTTGGCATGTCTCAAAGCTGGGGAGAGGACAGAGGGTGAGAAGAGAGACTCCGTGTCCCCACAGTGACATGCATCCTGTCCCAGACCCGTCCTTGTCCCTCCCCAGGCCCTGGGGAAGGGCACCCTGAGTAGACTGTAGGCCTGGGTTGGGCGACTTGGAGTTCTAGATGCACCTGCTCTCACTGTCTGATATGTTCCTCTGGATGCCTGAGGTCTGGGGAAGGGGAGACCCTGAGGTGGGGAGGGAGAGGTCAGTGAAGGCAGAAGGGATGCTGTCCCTCACAGGGAGCAGGCGGGTAACACGAGGCACCTTATGCAGTACAGGGAAGGGTCTAATCTTCTTGCCGCACTCCTCTGTGGCTCTGTGCCCCCCATCCAAGCCCTTGCAGGTCTGTGACCCTTACAGAGTGACCATGCCTGGCCCTTGTCTTCCTGGCTGTCCCCTGAGCTGGGGGCCATCCCTCTTACCTCCTGCCTGACTGGTCTCCCCCACAAGTATGGGCTGAAGCTGGGGAGAGAAGTAGCCCTGTGTTGTTGGGGATGGGAGGGCTATTGAATGGGCAGGAGCCAGAGGGAACTGGCTGGCGTACTGATGGTCACCTACATTCAGGTGGTGAAACCACAGGTACATAAAAGCAGAGAGGGGCTGGTGCTGGGCCTAACAAGTAAAACTGCTGCTTACAATGCCGGCATCCCATATGGGGCACCAGTTAGACGCTCAGCTGCTCCACCTCTGATCCCTATTAACACACCTGGGAAAAATAGCAGAAAAATGGCTCAAGTGCTTGGGGTCACTGGGAGACTGGGAAGAAGTTCCATACTCCTGACTTTGGCCTGGCCCAGCCCTGACTAGTGCAGCTAACACGGGAGTGAACCAGTGGATGGAAGATCTGTCTTCCCCTCTCTCTCTGTAGTTCTGCCTTACAAATAAGTAAATCTTTAAACACACACACACACACACACACACAGAGCCAAGAAGCCAGTGAGCTGTACTTCTAGGATGCGTGTGCTTTCCCTGTACATGAATGATACGAATTTCAGAGAATCGGGAAGATAGACGGGTTGGATATGGTGGTGCAGTGGGTGAAGCCACTGCTCGGGATGCCTGCATCCTGTTCAGTGTCTGCTTCTGACCCTGCCCCTACATGTACCCTGGAAAACAGGAGGAGGTGCTTCAGCATGTGGTTCCTGCCATCCATGTGGGAGTCCCTGGGGGAGTCCTGGCTCCTGGTTTCCACCTGACCAGCATTTGGGGAAGGAATCTGAAAATTGAAGATCTTCCTCCCCCTCTTCTCTTTGTCAGTCTGCCTTTTAAAGCAATTAGTTTTAAAAAACTTAATAGAGAAACTCAGGGAGAAGTGGTCAGCTGGACTTTATGCGAAGCTTCACCCCCATGTTGGCTTAACATGCAGACCATGCCCCTGGCTAATGGCCTGCCTCCCCCAGGCCCCAGCTCTTTCAATCCTCCACCTTCCTCTCCGATGCCCGTCCCTCCCCCTGGCCACCACTCTCTGGTTTGGGGCAGAATGCACCTCCCCGCTGCTCTCTAGGGCTCAGCATGCTAGGTTCAGGATGCCTCCCATCTCGGGTATGACCATGGTGCTCTAATCCTTCTCTGCCTCCATTCTTCCTCCCATCAATCTGCCCTCTGTGCAGGAGCAGGTGGAAGTTGAGCAAGCACGCCCTGATATGCTCAGGCTAAGAAGGAACAGCCACCTTGAGCTCAGTTACTCCTATTTCACATGTGCTGAAACCAAGGCATCGAGGACTACCTGGGGACTGTGCTACAGCACAGCAAGTAAAGTCGCCATCTGCAGTACCAGTGTCCTACAGGCACACCTATGCTTCCATTTCCACTCCAGGTCCCTGCTAACACACCAGGGAAAGCAGTGGAAGATGGCCCAAGTCCTTGGGACACTGCACCCCTGTAGGAGATCCAAAGATCTTGGTTCTGGCTTGGCCCAACCCAGCTGTGGTGAGGTTGTTTGGGGAACAAACCAGTGGATGGACGATCTGTCTCCTACCTCTGCCTTTCAAATGAAGCAGACAGGTGCTTAGCAGATGGAGTGTGGTAGAGCCCTCCCATTTGTGCCCACACCTGCTGGGCCAGGCCTCCTCACACCTCAGCATCTGTGGCAGCTTTCCTCCTCTTCCTCCCTCTGGACCTTGGCACACTATCTCCCCTGCTGCTGAGGACTCTCCCAGCCCCTCCTCAAAGACACCAGGGCCCTGCCTTCCCTCCTTCCTCTGTCCCCAGTTCACACATTGGGCATACCACTGGATTCTGGGATGAGACAGATGTGCTACTTGCTGGGTGGCAAGACACATCTCATCTCACGTTTGACAGGTGTGACACCTTACACTATACCTGGCTGTGGCAAGGGTGCAGAGCATGAGCTGTGGGCCTCAGTGTCCTCATTTGTAAAATGGGGCAAACACACCTCACAGGTTGCCAGCAGCAAAGGGTCGTTAACAGCCTCACCTGACAGCCCTGAGCCCGTGTGGTTGTAGCCCTCATCAGCCCACTTCACAGAGCAGGAAACTGAGGCTCAGTGCTCAAGGTCAAGGAAGGGCCAAGTTGCTTTTCTAGGTTCCAACCCCATGCTCCCCACATCTCACCCCTGCTTCGCCTGGCACCCATGCAAGCCCAGCCAGGGTGAGTCAGCAGATGGCCTGTCTGCCCCTGGGGTCAGGGCAGTTTCCTGGTGCCAGCTTGGTGCACTCACCGGGCTCTATGCTGAGTTGCATCCTGATCACCTTCAGGGCTGTCAGCCACTGCGCCCTCCCCTACATGGCTGCAACAGGTGGAAGACAGGAACCTGGTGCAACGGCCAGGGCACAGGGCAGAGTGGGTGGGGACAGCAGCGAGTCTCTGATTACAGTGTTTTCTGTGGCTTGGCTTGGGTCTGTGTAAACATCTCACATAGCCAAAAAAAAAAAAAAAAGACCTAAAAGGGGAAGGAAGACACATGCACTTACTGTAATTGATGAAGTAACTACATGAGGCAATTAATTCTGGGCACTGCAACCTGACCATACATATGTACTATGTATCTGAAAGGCAGAATGACACACATAGACTAAGACATTGCACCTGCTGGTTCACTTCCCCAGATACCCACAACAGCTGGGGCTGAACCAGCTGGATCTCCTGGTGGCTGTAGGAAGGACTTCCCATGGCCCACCACCTGCTGAGGGCTCCAGTGCAGCAGCAGGAAGCTGGATCATATCTACGGTATTCGAGACTCGAAGTGACACTCAAGATACGGCAGATGGGCACCAAGAGCAGTGCTTTAAACTGCCGTGCCACAAGGCTGGCCCTTCCCTCCACTGTTTTTTTAATTTTAAAGATTTATTTGAAAGATAGAGTTACAGAAAGAGGAGAGACGGATCTTCTGCCTGCTGGTTCACTCCTCAATTGGCTGCCATGGCCTGGCATGGCCAGGTAGAAGCCAGGAGCCTCACAAGAGTCTCTAATGTGTGCAGCAGGGGCCCAAGACCTTGAGCCATCTTCTGTTGCTTTCCTAGACATATTAGCAGGGAGCTGTAAAAGGCATACGAAGGTACTTCAGAAAGTTCATGGGGAAAAATAGAATTAAATTTGTTTTGATGCAAAAAACTCAAATTCCTGTCTGGTTTTTCATGGTACACATTTTCCATGAACTTTCTGAAGACTCTACATATAGAAATGAAGATGAAGTCCCTGTCTTCCCAAAGGCCCATAGGATGGGTCCCTCTGAGACCTAGTGGGTGGGTGAGACGGCACTGGACAGGCCAGCCGCGACCATCACCCCAGTGACACACGTTTCAGGTCTCGCTGCAGCTGGCTCCCTTCCCCCTGGCAAATGCAGGGCCTGAGGAACACACCTGCCCCAAGGCCTGTGGATGGGGGCCTCACCCTTGCATCAGGCTGTGAGGCCCCCCGGTCTTCAGGGTTCTGTGATCGGAGATGGAGAGGTAGACAGTACCTGCTCCGGGGTGGGGGAAGCCTGGGTTCAAATCCTGGCTATATGCCACCAGGGCTGGGTGCATGGACAATCATCTGACCTCCGATGCCCCTCACCGCCAGAAGGCAGGGCTGTTACTATGCCCCAGCCCAAGGGACTCTCGTGTAGAGTACCATGAGGTGCTGTGGACCTTGGGGCGTGCTGGGATGCAACGGCTAGCTCCATGCAGCCCTCCTGAACCAGTGCCCTCACTTCCCATCATGGAGACCCTGAGCTGCGGGAGCCTGCAAAGCCCCCAGAGGTGAGGAGAGAGAAGCTGGCTCTCGCTGGCCCAGGTCTCCAGGGAGAAGCCTCAGGCACAGAGGCTAACAGATGGCTCCTGTGTGACTTGATCCTTTTCTACTTTATTACTTCAAAGTAACAACCACAATAAAGCTCAAAAAAGTCCAATATTTACACAGGAAAAAAGTACAAAATTCCCCCCGAAGTTCTTCAGTATTTTTTTTTCAGTTTTTTAAATTACAAAGTAATAAAAAGCTTTGCTCTTTAATCAATAAAAAAAAAAAAGGAAAACGGAAACAGAGGTAAATAAATTAGGAAACAGGAAATACACAGAGAAAACAAACAAACAAAAAACAGGTGTTAACCAGGAAGAATGCATAAATCCAACGCCCAGCCCTGACTCAGGGCTCCTGCTTGGCTCACCCTGGGACCCAGCAGTCACCTACCACCCAGACCCAGGCGCCTGGGAGCAGTGGGCCCCATAAGCTGCCCTACGCCCAGGAGTGGAAGATGGGGCTCCCACAGGCTGCTGGTGGGGTACAGGTAGGGATGGGGATGGCAGGACCCCCATGACCTGAGGGATACAGAGGCCACTGCCCACCCCCTTTTCCTAGGCAGGGGAGGACACAGACTGGGCCTGGCAGGGGTTGCCCTGTTGTGCTGGGAGTGACAGGCCTGACACGTACACGCACGTGTGCACAGGGAGTCGGGGCCACCTTTTCCCCAACGCAGGGTCTTCACGGAGAGGAGACAGGGTGGGACCCAAGCGCTTAAGATGTTGGAATAGCCCAGCACAGGAAATCTGGCCACTGTCCTTTCACAGGGGTGGGCAATGTCCACCTCTGCCATCCTGGTGGGTCTTGCCTCTGGGCGGTTGAGCTACTCACTACACCACCTACACCACCATCACCATCATCTGCCCACAGCTGGCGCAGGGGTTGGCAGGAAGAGGTGGCTGGCTCTGTGTCCTGGGGGATCACTTGGCAGCCTGAAGTTGGGGCAACGAGCACTGCAAGGGGACAGGCATCCTTGGTGCAGAGGGTGGCCCGTCTTCTTGCCGTTGACAAAAGTAACAAGCAAAATCCATCATCAGTTTTGTGCTGGGTTGTTTTTTCCTTTCTGTTCTCAGAGTGGTTTTTTTCCTCCACCTTTTTCATTGCTTTTTAAAAAAAAATACAGTGAAGACACTAGAAGGAGGAAGAGAGGAGACAGGTTAGTGCCCAGCTGCCTCTGGCTATGGACCTGGCGTGGCTCCTGAACTCTGTATTCCTGTCCCTCCGTCCCTTTCTGGAGACCAGAGCACACAGCCAGAGTCACATCACGGCAGGAAGGGCGCAGGCTCCTCCTCTCTGCCGCTTGTAAGCTGCCACTGGCCACACATCTGCCCAGACCTCGGGGGTGAGGTGGTCTCTATTTGAGACCCCAGTTCTGTCAGTAACATGTGCGAGGCGAGTGGCTTAGGCTGCTGCAGAGCCTGCCTCCTGCACATGTTCAAGGAGCTCACACCTACCCCAGCCCTCTGGAATACCAGCCCCCCTCCAATTCCCCTGACCCTTGAGCCACAACCCAGGAGCTCAGCTGCTCTTCTAATGCCTCTTCTGAGCTGGCCCTGGCAGGTGAACTCCCAAGAGTCAGGCCCTCTTGTAAGCGCTCGGCATGAACTGATTTGTCTGGTACACAGTGCTACAGCCCTGCAGCAGGTCAGGGGTAGTCGAGGCTCTGGCTGTCCTGGAACTTTCCAGAATACGTTAAGGCAGAGAAGTAGGATAGACACGTGGAAACAATTTTCTAAAAGCAATCAATCCTGAGAGAGGGGCAGTCTCCATTTTTCTCCCCTTAGGGCCTGATAGCTTATAGTGTACCTGGCCCCACAGGCCACTCACTGGTCTCCCGTGCGAGGTAACAGGTATTTGCTGAGCCAGCTGGGCTGCATTCACACGGACAGACTCACCTAAGCAAACACTGGTCCGAGGGCAGCTCTCCTCACTTCCCGAGGTGGTCAAATGGCACGCTTGTCTGTGGGGAGGGGAAAGAGGGACAGAACGTGAGCTCCAGGGCTGGCAGTGGACACTGGCGAGGCCTCCCCGCTGCCTCAGGGGCTTCCTGTGAAGCCCTAGCTGCCCCCTCAGGCTTGGCCACTTGCAGGTTCCTTTCCAAGCCCCAGTTTCTGACTTGGCTCTGTGGGGTTAGTTAGACCTGGGAGGACTCAACAAGGCAAGTCTGGCTCCACAGAATGGGTCTGCTCCGAGCCACACCTGGCTCTGGCGGTGGGGGGACCCAAGGGCCATTCACCTGTGAGGCTGAAATCCGGGACACCTCTTGCCGCCCAGTGAGGTCTGAAGAGGAGACGTTGGCAGGTGCACCCCGGTGCAGCCTCAGGCTCACCTTCCTCTCCCGGTCCACCCGTGAGATCGCTCTGGGAGAGGTATTGCCTGGAGGGCAGTGGAGAAGCCGGCCTCAGTGTGGGCACACAATGGGGAGACCCTGTCCCTTCATCCCCCTCCCCCGTCAGGCCCAGGACCCCGACTCACCAGCTTGCTGGATTCGGGAGGCCGGGGTAGAAGCCACAGGCTCGGCGGCACTGCGGAGCCGGTTGGCCGTGGCCCCAGTAGGTGGGCCAGGGGGCAGGGCCCGGGTGGCGGAGCCCCGCAGCTGCCCCATCCGCTCCTCGCGCTCGTGTTCTCGCCGCTCCCGGTCCACGTCCTCGGGGTTCCGGGCTGCACCCTGTGGAGAAGGCAAGATGTTGGTCAACAGTGGGACACCCAGGTGCTCTGGGTTCCGGCACCCTCACAGCCAGGCAAGAGGGTGCATGAGGAGCGCATCTCAGGAAGCCCCTGGTCCAATGTTCTCCCCACACCATGACCGAAGAAGGCATGAGCACAGTACAGGGAAATGAAGCCGCATGACTGCCCAGAGAAGGCCAGTCCATCCTGCCTCCCAGGGCTGAGTAAGAACCAGGAAGCCTGTTGCCCCTGAGGTGACCAAGCACAGCCCCTGGCTTTCCCACCCTGGGACTGACACCTGTCCTAGCCCTCAAGGTTTCCAAAGCAGACAAGGAAGGTGCTTAGAAGCCCAACCAGCAGATAGGCAGAGGGTATCAGGAAGAGAAAAGGACAGACCCAGAATGACAAAGCTACTTTAAGGCAGGACCAAGACTGAACTAGGTCTCAGGTGCCCGGTCACCAGAGAGCTGTCCTTCCCTGGCCCCAGGACCTGTCAATAGCACCTGGCAGGTGCTGGGAAGCCACAGCACGAGGCCCAGGAGACCCACAGCTACCACCTGCCTCTGGATGGGAGGCAAAGAAGAAATTGGGACGTGATAGCCCATAGCAAAGAGGTCCAGAAGGCAAGGCTGGAGTGCAGGACCCTGAGCCCCAAGGGGGCCTGCCCGCCAGCCACTGCCACCCCAAGAGCAGGAGTGAGTGAGAAAGGCCCAGAGGGGAGTGTGGGGCCAGGCAGCACCTGGCCACATTACCTAGTTGGTCTTGGGGCCGTCCACAGGGAAGGGCGGGGGGCTGGCATGAAGGGGACGGCATCTGTGAAGGAGAGAGCTGAGGGCTGAGTGGGGGGGGGCGTGCCGTCAGGCCGAAGGGTGAGGGTCCCTGAAACCCTGTGTGCCCTGGAACTGGCTGAGAAATGGGGTGGTTCTTACTTTTCCGATACTCCTAGAGGTCTGGCTGGGGTCAGAATGACCCCTAAATTGCAACGGGGAACCTGGGTAGAAAGCCGGGCTGTTGGGGTCTCAGCTGGAGGCAGATGTGGGATGAGCCCAGGCTCCTGCCCGCTGGTCCTGCTCTGTTCTGCTCTCTGCACCCTCAGAAGAGCCAGTCACCTGCCTTGGCAGCACTCAAGGGACACATTTTCCCAGTCTGTGGTCAGGCTGATATGTCTCCTGGGACCAGCTGGGCTTCACATCCTGATCTCTGGTCAGTCGCAGGCTTGGAGGTAGAGGACTGGTACGACCAAGGCGAGGTCGAGTGATGACAGTTGCAGGATCCACCCTGTGAGGTGGAGGCTCGGGAGATAGAGGCTCAGTGACCTACTCGAGATGCACAGCCCTGGGGCCAGCAGAGTGGACGGCTGGGGTCCCTGCCCTTTGCCAACACCAGTCCTCGAGGCAAACTCTCTGCATTTCCTTCCAAACCAAGGGATGCTTCAAGAAACACATGCCAGGGAACTTTCATGGCCTTTATTTGCCCACAGAAAAACATAACAGGTCAGCATTAAGGTCCCCTGTGGGACGGTGTCCTCAGCCGTGTCCAACTTCTCCCTGGCTGGACCTCAAGAACTCGGCGGCAGGGAGGCCGGGAAGAGTGCTGTGTACTGAGTGGGTTCCAGGCTCAAGAAATCCAAGGAGTCCTGTGCTCTGACACTGGGCAACACGGACAGACCACTCTGAGGTGGACGGTGAATCCTTTTCATGGGCAAGCCTGTGGGGGTGAGCAGTGGCGAAGACTTCCTGTAGCAGGCCCACCTAGGGGGAAGGGCGTGAGGTCTACTACACGCTTCCCCACAGTGGAAATGGGGTCGCAGACGCCTGCTCTTTCAGTTCAGTGGCCTTGCAGCTGGATACCAGTAGAGGACAGGTCTGTCCGTGCCTCTGCCCAGCTTCTAACCCCAGGGCCTGCCTCAAAGGGGACTCCAGGAATGGGTCAGAGGGCCAGCCATGGCCAGGAAGGTGTGCCTAGCCTGGCACAAGAGCTCCCATGGGCTGGATGGTCCTGGGAAGGTGAACCTGATACAACTTTCTGGTAAGATGAACAGATTCACGTCTGCCTTGTTGGATGTGCAGCCGCTGGTGGCTCCTAAGTTTGAATCACATTACACTTAAAAAACAAAGGCTATGTCGCACAAGGCCACCACACTGGACAGCACAGAGTCAAGGTATGCAAAATCCGTTCTCAGAGCAATGCTGAGCCCAGGGCCTAGGTCACTGCACAGCAGACTTGGGAAGCACTTCCTAGAGCAGTGAGAAGAGCTGGGCTCACTGTGTCCCCCAGCACTCAGCCCCGCTTAAGCTGCAAGGTCTGGGATGAAGGAGGTCCCCACTGCCTACCTCCCCCAGAGGTGGTCAGAGGCCTTGCCCTCACCACCTGGCCCATGGGACCCTTGTACGCTGTCAAGTGGGAGCCAGAGAGGAGCCCAGGGGTCAAGCCCTGACCCTGGCATCTGGGGTGAGCCCTTAGTCCTGCATGTCCAACAGAGCGGGCCAGGCTGGCCAGGAAAGGAGAGGCATACAGGCTGGAGCGTGGGAGGTGTTTAATGAGTTCAGGGCCAATACAGAGGCTGTCGACGGTCTGGCCACGGGCCTGCTCCTAGTGCCTGGCCCCACCAGGCCATCTCAAGCAGTGGCCATTTTTCCTGCTTCAGGCTCCGGCCTGACTACCAGGCAGCTTGTTCATCTCCAGGGATATGCCACCACAGGCAGTCTTCCGCCATGCCCTCTTCAGAGTACGTCTGCCTCTCAGGTGTGGGTGACCCCCACCAGCCCGAGGGACGTTTCCTGGGTGCTGGCCCCGATGGGCTCAGGCACCCCTGGCGATGTCAGAACTGAGGCCCTGGAGTCCAGACCACAGGCCAGTAGTTTTGGGGGGGCAGCTCCTCTACCTCTTCCACGAGCCTACCTGGGGGGCCCTGGGTGCCCAGAGTCGCCGGGCACCTGAAAGGGACAGAGAGAGCATCACTCAGGCCCAGCCTCTGACACTTGCGAGCCAAATGGCAAAGCTTGCAGGCTTCAGGGGCTCCTTACCAGTATGCGGGTGAGTAGGTGGGCCCGGCACAGGGACAGGGGCGGGGGCAGGGTGGTGCAACAGCTTCGCTGTCGTGGGGCTGAGCCTGGCTCGAGGAAGCCCCCTTTTCCAGAAGAGATGTGAAACAAGACACAGGATTTCACAGACTCCGGAGCTCCAGGGACAGCTGATGAGTGCATCTCCCCATCCCACCCCCAGCTCCCTTAAAAGAGGGATGCAGAACAGCCACCCAGCAAGACCCAGGGGCCCATGGCCAGGAGGACAGAGAGCACCCTGCAGGGGTCCAGGCTGGCCTGGGGGGCACAGAGCAGGAACAGCAGGATGGTGCAGGCAGCGAGCAGGGCCAGCCCTGCCCCGCCATGAACACACAGAAGGGACGCAAGGCCCCGCACATCAGGATGGCACAGGTTGTCCACACAGACACGGAGGTGGCTGCGCAGGGAAGGCTCTGGGACCCCAATGAGGTCCCCTGCACTGTCTAGCTCGTAGCCCTCACTTGTGGGGAGCCCTGCCCGCCACCAGGTCACTGCAGCTTCGTAAGCCCGACCCTTCCCCAGCTGATCCCCCAAGCCCGCCTCGGCCTCCAGGTGACTCACGAATTTGAGCATGTTCCAGTCGAAGACGTAGTCATAGGAGAAGCCCTGTCGGTGGAAGAGGTTGCGGAAGAGCTGGCGCAGGTAGGAGTAGTCAGGCTTGTCGTCAAACCGCAGCGAGCGGCAGAAGTTGAGGTATGTTGAGAACTCGGCTGGTGACAAACACAGGGACAGAAGAGATTGCTGCCACGAGGCCTGCGCTGCCCACACCACCTTGGCCACACCCTGCCCACCCACAGTTTTACATCCCACCTCTTCCCAAATGGGGTGGCATGAAGAGGGGACAGGATGATGGCTCCCCTGCTGGCAACCACAGCCCCACTGGCCTGTGAGCAGAATGCTTGGTCACTACTCAGGATAAGTAGCTAGGGGCAGAGAGACACTGAGAGCAGCCATCATCAGCCCTGGGACCGACAGAGACCCTGACGGTGGGCTAAGCCACTCCCCTGGCCAGAAAGGCCAGGGTGGAGGGGCCTTAGGGGAGGAAATACAAATGCAGGTGGGGTGGGGGGGACTCTGGAGTGCAGCAGCCCGGCCACAGGGGTTGACACTTCCCAGGCAGACTGGGACAGTGGCAGAAAGCTGCGGACTTGCTCTGGTGTCATGGCTGGGAAGTCCAGCATATGCCAGGTGTCACATCTCCCCTTACAAGAACCTGCCCCGGCTACTCCCAGGGGCATCCTCCACGCTCGGGCAGCCTGGACACTCACAGGGGTAGCCTTTGCAGAGGACCTCAATGGGCGTGGACATCTTCTTCTCGCTGATCCGCTCGTACTTCTGGCGTTTGGTGGCTGCCTTGAGGCCCTGCCAGGGCAGGGAGCCCAGGTTGAAGTACATGAGCACGTAGCCCAGGCTCTCCAGGTCATCTCGACGGCTTTGCTCTGCACGAGGCGGACACACAGCAAGGGCCAGGGTTTACTGCTCAGCGTACCTATGACCAGACCTCCCCTAGGGCTTGTGGCAACCCCCGGACAAATAATCCTGCGGGGGAAGGGACCAGAGGCAAAGCCTTTTTATTTCCACGAGGCCCAATTCTTCTAGCTCAGGCTTTCACTAATTCATTCACTTGGGAGTGGGCCTGGGGGGCATGCCGTGCCCACTTCATAAACTTTACACATCAGATAGGGCAGAGGTCACAGCCAGCTCTGACGCTTGCTGAGCTCCAGGACCTTAATACTATGTATGTGAGCCTGCGTTTCCCAGCCCATCAAAGTGGGGAATGTCTTCATGCCCTCAGCAGCCTGCTCTGGCACAGAGTGGCAGGGATGCTACGCACACACAGCTCTGCAGGTTAGGTGGCACAGCTGCACTAGACCCAGGCTTAGGGAGCCACTATGGATTGGGGGTGGGGATGATGCTCTCCTGGTGAGGTTCCCTAGTGGATACACCTGGGGCTTCCAGAAAAGGCAGAGGTACAGGCCAGGACTGTGCCTTCTCGGGGCCTGGTTCACTCACCAATGCCCAGGTGGGTGTTGATGGAGGCATAGCGGGCAGTGCCAGTCAGATTCTTGTTTTCCCGGTAGGGGATGTGCTGGTGGGTGCGGGCGTCCCGGTACTTCTTGGCCAGACCAAAGTCAATGATGTAGACCAGGTTGCCCTTCTTCCCCAGCCCCATGAGGAAGTTGTCAGGCTTGACATCCCGGTGGATGAAGTTCTTGGAGTGAATGTACTCAATGCGGCTGATCTGCACGGAGGACATGAGTTACTCACCAAGTGCTCCGGGCTGGGCCCAGGAGGGGTGGGGGCCACAGACACAAGAGGCGCACAACCAGGTCCCTGTTCTAGCTAGGGACAAAGATCTGCCTTCAACCGCGAAGAAGGACAAGGAGGTGTAGGTCAAGGTGGGCTTCCTGAGAGAAGAGGGGTTTACGACTGCTATGAGACAGACTGCAAGGTAGGACAGCTGATAGCAAGGTGGAGAAAGGACTCTGGGCCCCTAGGGGAGCCTTGTCTGCCTGCTGCATCTCCCTGGCCCTGGGAAGTCAGGGCTGGCAAGCAAGTGACACCAGGGAGGCAGACCCAGCAGGGGCAATGGCAACAGAGCAAGAAAGAAAGCCTGGACTTGGCTCTGGGATCCCAAGGACACAGGAGCCAGGTGGACACGCAAGCCTTCTCCTGTGACTTCAGAAACCTGGAGTGCACATCCCTGCCCACAACACATGGCACAGCAGGCCTCCCGGCTGCACCACAGCTGACCAGCCCATGTGTCGCACCCTGGGAGCGCCTCTCCCCTTCCCTGCCTCATGCAGCCGGAAGTCACTGGGTGCAAATGAAGACGAGCACCCCAGGAGTGTGGTGGGGATGCTGATCAGAAAGCCCACAGTTTTGCATCTGTACTTAGCTTCCTTGTGCTCACGGAGGCTGAGGGCCCAACTGCTTGTTAGTGTACACCTGTTCTGGGCCGGGCCCTTTATCCTACTGTCATCTGACAAACAGCGCACTCTCACATGAGGTGATGAAGCTGGGAGTGTCAGCAGCACACCCGAGTCACAGCAACAGGGTGACACACAAGACTGTGCACTTGTGGGCTTTGAACTCAGCAAAGCTGGAGCTGTGGGCCTGACCAGGGCCAGGGGCCCAGAATCTACCCTTCAAAGCAACGGTCACAGCTTCTACAGTCAGCGGCCAGGCTGCAGCCCTGACTAGCCCTCCCACATCCTGCGTCCACAGGGCTGGTACTCCGTGTTCCCCAGGGGGCACGAGGAGAAGCAGGAGTGGGCAGGGGACACGCACCATCTGGTCGGCCAGGAGCAGCACCGTCTTGAGGCTGAACTTGCGGGAGCAGAAGTTGAAGAGGTCCTCGAGGCTGGGCCCCAGCAGCTCCATGACCATGACGTTGTAGTCGCCCTCGGCCCCACACCACTTGATGGACGGGATCCCCACTGGGGGCCGGGGTAGAGGGGTTCTGTCAGGGGCAGCTCCTGCCAAGCCCCAGCCCCACTGCCACCCTGGCCCCACGCTGCGCCTCACCTCCCCCCTGCATCATCTTGTAGAACTTGCTCTCGATATGCAGCTGTGGGTGCTTCGTCTTCACACACTCCAGCTTAATGGCTACCTCCTCACCAGAGGCGATGTTGGCACCTGCGGGGATGGAGCAAGCAAGGGACCAGCGTCATCCTTGGCCAGCAGCAGTCCTGGCACCCCGGCCTGGGCAGGCCGGGACTTGCCTCTGAGGGTCAGAGCCTCCAGGGTAGATTGGGAAGCTGAGTGGGGGAGGGCTCCCCAGGACGGAGGCAGGTATGAGGAAGGAGATGAGACGCTTGGGCCATTGAAGGAGGCACAGTTGGGCACCACCACCTGATACTGCGGGATGTGGGGCCAGGAGGGACATTGACCAGCACCTGCCCCCTTGCCCATCATCACCAGCAGCACCTGCAGCGGCGCCCCATGCTTTCCACCCCCCCCCTTCAGTTCACACTTCCCCTTCCTAGCTGAGAAGACACAGGCCCACCTCTAAGTCACATGGCTACAAGTCTCGCACTAGCCTAACTAGGAGACGGGGTCCTGCCTGCAGTCCAGAAGCTCTCCCCATGAACACCAGCCTCACAGTCCCCTAAGCCCAGCTCTCGGCCTAGGTCCCTCCCAGGGCTCCAGGAGCCACATTAAACCCTACCCTCACTGCCCCCCACCAAAGTAACTAGGGAAATAGGAGGGTTGGGGGCTAAGAGGAACAAAGCTGCAGGAGCCAACATAGTCGGGTATCAGCACCTGAAGAGACAACACGAGACGTGCCAGAGGAGCCATGATCCCTGGAAGGCTTGGGAGCAGACCCCAGCCGGCCCTTGGCACTGGCACACAGGAGATGGTGAGTCAGTGGGTAGCTGTGGAATGATGGGGTCCTCACACCATAGCTGGGGAGATCCCCAATGGAGCAAGAGTGTGTGTGTGCGCAGGTGCACACTGAGAAAAACAAATGAACAAACAAAAATCTACCACAACCTGAAAGGGTTGCTAAGTCGGCACAGTCAAGCACTGGGCCCTGCAGTCGCTTCAGGAAAGTGTGAACAACAAACTGCAGACTGATGATGTGTGAGGTTCCCAGGCCAGGACCTGTGAGTGCCCACGGGGGCCACAGCACCACAGCGACGTGTGAGGTTCCCAGGCCAGGACCTGTGAGTGCCCACGGGGGCCACACCACCACAGCGACATTACTACAAAATATCGTGAAGAATTACTTTTAGAGCCACAGCTGTTTGTTTGTTCAACACAGACTTGGGCCCAATGGGGGAGACAGAGCCCCAGGACTATTAAAGCCTGGACCCCCCCACACACACACACACTTTGCCACTTTGTGGCACCCGCCTGGCTCTGTCCTTTCCCCCTCTAATAATCTGGCCATGACTAACAGGAGCACAGTCATGCCCAATGGGCAGCCTCAGGTCAGTCAGGAAAAAAAAAAAAGAATTACCTTCAGTCTCTAGAAAACCAAGGAGATTTCTAGGCTTACACTCTGGTCTCAGCCCCTCAACACACCTGTTTTGTTTTGTTTTGTTTTTTTCCCTAAGATTGCTTTATTTACTTGAAAGGCAGAGTTAGAGACAGAGAGAGAGAAGACAAAAACAGAGAAATCTTCCCACATGCTGGGAGAGGGAGAGGGCCGCAACAGCCAGGGCTGGGCCAGGCCAAAGCCAGGAGCCTGGAGCTCCAGGTCTCCCACGGGGCAGGGGGAGAGGGGCAGTTCTGCTGTCTTCTCAGGAACACAAGCAGGCAGCTGGATCAGAAGCAGAGCAAAGCAGCCAGGCCTCAAGCTGGTGCCCACACGGGAAGATGGCATCACAGGTAGTGGGATAACTCATTCTGTCACAGAGCTGGCCTCAACATACTTCATCTCCACAGAATATCCTCAAATCTGAAAAAATGTGAGACCCTGAAACTCCTGTGGTCTCAACACCCAGCTTCTGTATGGGATGCTCAGAATTTGCTGGCCGGCTCAGATGGAGCCGGCAGGCACGTGGGGGTGACTGCTCTGGGCCTACGGGTTCCTTTAGGGTGGTGACAAACACTCTGGAAGAGCTGACGGCTGCACAGCTGAAGGCCCTGCCACGAGACACACACAGAAAAAGGGCCATCTCCTGTTTGGTGACTCTTACCTCCACTTAAAAAGAAGAAAAAGCTATTTTTTAAAAAGGTATTTATCTGAGAGGCAGAGACAGCGAGTACCATTTTAGTTTTTTTTTTTTTTTAAAGACTTACTTGTTTTTACTGAAACAGATTTACAGAGAAGCAGAGATGGAGAAAAAGATCCTCTGTCCACTGGTTCATTCCCCAAATGGCCATAACAGCTGGAATTGAGCTGATGTGAAGCCAGGAGCTTCTGGTCCTCCCATGGGTGCAGGGTCTCAGGGCCTTAGATCATCCTTTACTGCTTTCCCGGGCCAAAGCAAGGCCCAGGAAGGGAAGTGGAGCAGTCGGGACACTAATTGGTGCCCACATGGGATCCTGGCACATGCAAGACAAGGACTTAGCCTCTAGCCTATCGAGCCAGGCCTGAGAGCTCCTTCTTCTGACTTGTCCCCCAATGCCTGCGGCAGCTGGGAGTTGCAGCTGGGGACACAGCCCAGGTCTCCCATGACGGGGCCGGAGTCCACACACTGGGGACACAGCCCAGGTCTCCCATGAGGGTGGCCGGAGTCCGCACACTGGAACCTCTGCTTCTTGGGATGAGCCTGAGCAAGAGTCGACTTGGGAGCTGAAACCACTGGGCTAAGAAGTCACTCCCTACGCCTTTTAAACACTTTTATTTTGAAAAAAAAAAAAAAAATTTTTTTTTTAAGGAAAGGAGACAGGACCCAGCGTGACAGCCTAATGGCCTTACCTTGCATGGGCCAGGATCCCATGCTTCAACTTCAAATCACACAGCACTAAGCGACTCATAGATTACGGACATAAACATGCTAAAATTTAACAACAAAAACAGTCGGGGGGGGGGGGGGGCAGGCACTGCAGCACAGCCAGGAAAGCTGCCGCCTGCAGCACGGGCATCCCATATGGGTTTTGGTCCGAGTTCCAGCTCTGTGTTCCTGCATCTGAGCAGCGGAGAACAGCTCCAGCGCTTGGGTCCCTGCACCCACTACTGGCTTTGAGCCAGTCCAGCTCCAACTATCGTGGCCATATACGGAATGAGCCAGAAGAGAAGCATGCACGCAAAGGAACAATCTAGAACATCAGACAGTGGTTGCTCTGTGAGGGGATAGCAGGGAACAGCCCAGGCTCTTCAAGGAGACAGAGCTGTCTCCTCCACCTGCTTCAGAAACCTAGGGTTAGCCAGGCTTTCTTTCCAACTTAAAAGCCAGAAGTCATTAAAAAAAAAAAAATGTCTCTTTCCCCACCAAAAAAATCCCTTCTGCACTACAGAAGCTCCAGAAATACCATCCTGAGAAAATATGCCTGCAGGGCCCAGCACAGTAGCCTAGTGGCTGAAGTCCTCACCTAGCGTGCATCAGGATCCCATATGGGCATCGGTTCAGTGTCCTGAAGCCCCACTCCTCATCCAGCTCCCTGTGGCCTGGGAAAGCAGTAGAGAATGGCCCAAAGCCATGGGACCTTGCATCCGTGTGGGAAAGCTCCTGGTTTCAGATCGGCACAGCTCCGGCTGTGAATCAGCGCATGGAAGATCATCCTCTCTGCCTATCCTCCCTTCTGCGTACCTGACTTCCCAATAAAAACAAATAATTCTTTAAAAATAAATGCCTGCAAAAGCCTGACTGCAGGCAGAGACTGCTCCAAGCCAGCTCCTACACGCTGGGAGGAGGAGGGCTTGGCAGGAACTGGAGCAAGAGGTGCGGGCAGACGCTTCCCGGAGAAGGAAGTCATTAATGCAAGCGGCTTACTCACGGGCTGAGATGCAGCCCCTGGAGCACGTCTACGGGGACTGCTGGAGCCCCTCCGGGAGAAAACAAGTGCACCGTTTGTCACAAGCCAAGGGCAGCTGGACGCTCCTGTCCAGCTGGGCGGGGTGGGTGCAGGCCAACCCCTCCTCAAGGCTCATCTGGCATCCCACTCTGACTAGCAGCAACACCACTTCCGGGGCTTAGCAACATCCTAGCATGGTGTTAAGTCAGGCCTGGACAAGGCCATCCACACCAGCCGCCACTTGGAAATCACCCAAACGTCCATCCTTCAGGGACGGGTTAAATAAAGAACAGCCCGTCTGCAGAACAGAACACAATGGGGCAAGAAGGAGGAAGCTGTCTGTATAGAGACATGTCACCAAGATGCAGGAAATGAAGCAGCAAGGCCCGGCACGCACTTAGGTACTCAATGCACCTGCTCAGCTCCAAACAGGTGGAGAAAGAAACTGATGCACTGAGCTCCAACTACACCAAGAGACATGGAGCCAGCATGCTACAAGGCACAGGTTCAAGACCCAGGAGGCAGTCCAAATGCTTGGAGACCCAGAAGATCCAGGCTCCTGGCCCCAGGCTCTTTGGGGTGTGAACCAAACATATCTTTCCCTCTCTCTCCCCTCTTTCTTTGCAAATCTTTCAAGTAAATAAAGAAAAGACAGTAGGCAAGAAAGCCTAGGGGTGGGTGCAGGTGGGCCAGTAAGGGGATCCTTCTTACCCACTGCAGTTGATTCCAGCCCCTTTGGAGAGAAAGGTGACTCACAGGCAACTTGCTACTCACCCCAAGTGTTGAGTCCCTGGCTTGCCGGACACCCCCAAGGTTGTATGGCTACCGCCAGGATTTCACAATCCTTTCAGCCCCCCAACACCTGCACCTCCTGGCAGCCATGCCCCATTCTGTGCCCGGAGCCCCTTCCCTGGCTTCTAGTGCCTGCCTTCATGTGCAGGATGTAATCTGTCATGCATGACTGGCATTAATTGACCCATTTGGGGTTTCATGTTTTCTGATTTCTGAACCACATGTAAAAGAATGGAACCGATGACTGAATCAGCAAGGAGTAGAGAGAAAATGCAGCACTCAGCTCTGGCACAATGCCCTCCAGGTTGCCAGGGCAGTGAGCACGTGCTATGGGTGGGGGCTGGGTCCCTGCAGTCTGCAGGCCAAGCCTCAGATCTCAGTGGACGTCAGGCGTAACAGCACAGTGGTGGAGAAGGTGGTCTTTAAGGGGCCAGTGCTATGGCATAGCAGGGCACAACGCCACTTACAGCCCTGACATCTCACAGGAAGTACTGGGTCTAATTCTGGCTGCTCCACTTCCAATCCAGCCACCTACTAATCCATCTGGGAAGGCAGTGGGGAATGACAAGTACTTGGGCTCCAGCCATTCCTATGGGAGACAGGGGTAAAGTTCAAAGCTCCCAGCTTAGCTGTTGCAGCTACTCAGAGTAAACCAGCACATGGGTCTATTGCTCTGCCTTTCAAATAAATAGTTAAACCTTAAAAGCAGGTGTTGGCCCCAGCAAGTGACCAGGGCCCAACTCCTGACTGTCCCCTCTTCACTGAAGGGCCTGGTACCGGTCAGTACTGGTCCCTCCAAAGCAGCATCTAGCAAGCAACCTCAGGTGTGACGGGGACTCTAGTCCTGGGCTGTGGCCTGTGTCCTCACCCCATTCCAGGCAGCCAGGCAGCAGACACCAAGACAACAGGAGAGCAAAGCTCTGGGGCGAAGGCCCCCCAACTGCGTGCGGGCATGCCAGACACATGGAGGCCACCGCACACAGGCAGGCTTGGGGGGAGGGCTGTTCTTAACACCAGCAACAGGTCTGTGATTCCCAAGGGTTGCCCTCAACTCTACCAGCGTCTGGGTGGGCTAACTCCTTGCTGGGGCAGTCCTGTGCAACATAAATTGGGTCACAGTATTTGGGGTCTTCACCCATCAGATGCCAAAGTTACCATACTGCTCCCCAACTAGTAGCAACCGAAAGTGTCTCCGGATCACAGCCTACGCCCTCTGGGAAATCACCCCACGGACTCCCTGGAGTAGCAGAGTGGCAGTGGCAGGGGCAGCTGGGAGGCAGCTATTGCAGCTGTCCAGGCAGGAGTGACCACGGCCCTGCCCTGCCAGGGTCAGAGCCCAGTGATACTCAGGAGGTGGGGCTTCAATGCTTGGTGATTCAGCAGATGGGCACATGGTGCAGAGGGCAGACAGCGCCCGGACCCTGACACGTGGGACTGACACGTGGGAAAACTGAGACGCACCAGGTCAGACAGCCATATGCCACCTCACGTCCCAGGGACAGGGACCCAAGCTGTCCTCTGAACCCTGCTGAGCACTGGAAGCTTGCCACAGCTCCTGCGTTCCTCCCTCAGTGGGCCCCACCACAGCAGCCCTGGGCTGTGTCTCAATTGTCAGGAAGCTGCCAGGTAATTCTCACCAGCCCTAAGCTAAGTGTCCCAAGGTCAGCCAGGATCTGAGATGTGGTCCTTCCAAATGCCTGCCTTCTCCTTCCTTCTGTGCCCAGCAGCCCCCTCCTCGGCAGCACCCAGCCCAGCCCAGCCCTGGCTCCGCACTAGGTGTAAGGCCCGTCTGTCCCAGGAGAACTCGGCTCTCCCAGAGCAGGAGTGACTACTGTGAGGGGGCAGGGCAATCAGGGCAGCCACAGTGCCAGACAGCCAGGTTAGGCTCTGTGGGTGGGGAGGGGGCTGTGCTGAGAGGGACCCCATGGGCCAAGGTCTGGAGGCCAGAACCACCCCCAAAAAACAGAGCAGGGCACATGAGATGAGCAGGGATCTTGGGAAGTTGTGGGGGTGGTGACCAGCCTCAATCCAGACACTAACAGAGCCACATGGACACTGTCAGGAGAGCTGGGAGCCTGCAGGCTCGGGGAGGAAGTTCACCCATGCCAGAAGCAACAGCAGTTAGTCAGCTGCCCCCCGTCAGAGGCCTGCAGCAGCACCCCAGGACCCATCAGGGAGCAGAGCCGTGCAGAGCCACAGTTAGGCTCCGTCTGGCCACCTTTCAACCCTGCGCAGTCCATGTGAGGGCCTTCGCCACGTGGGTTCCACCCTCCTCCCGGCTGCCCCTTGGGATGCCACAGGGCTTTGGGCAGAGGTTGTCTGAAGAGGCACCGTGGGCCTTGCAGCTGCCAACACCACAGGCTGGCCTCTGCTTATCCTGGAAAGCAGGGCTCGGCCACTGCACCCTGGACCACCTGCAGAGGCCATCTGGAGTCAGACCCTGGCCCAGGATCCAGCCGCAAGAACACGGCCAGCACTCGGAACAAAGGGAACCGACATGGCTGGCACAGAGGCCCTGCTGCCACCACTGTCCCCACACTGGCAACCTGGGGAAGCGGCTATGGCGGCGCTGGCTAATACTGACTCTCTTTACCATGTGGTCCTAGCAGCGACCTCCAGCTAGGAGCAACGGTGGGGCACAGCAAGACCACCCCGCAGCTGGGCCCAGCACATGGAGCCAGGACCCCTGTGCTTCCCACAGCCGACCTGGCACAGCCATTACCTACTTAAGGGTACACATCCAATTTCGAGAAAACACCAGCATCTAAACCCAGGCAGGAGAGCAATGAATTTGGACCCAAGGTTTTAAACGGAGATGTCATGCTTTGCCCACATGAACCAGTGACGCTGGGTTTTCCAGGTGATGCTGCTGCCCATGGACCGGTCTCCCCACAGGAGGACCTAGCCCTGCATGTGTGTCTGGGCCGAGAGATGCCTCCTGCCTGGTCCTGAGCCCTGCAACTGCTGCGGCCAAAAGACCCTTTGCACCCACCCCAGCTTCCCACGCAGCCAAGACAAAGTAACTCCTTCCAGGTCACTGAGCAAGCCAGAAGTGAGTGCGGTCCCCAAATAACAGCCTTCTTTCAGCCTGTTTTCAGTTAGCTGCCTTTGCTGGAGGAATGTCTATGTCCCCACTGGCTCCCTGGAGAAGAATTCAGACCAGTAGCAGAGGACAGGGGACAAGCCTCACCGCACACCTGCCTATCAGGAGGGTCACAGCAAGAAGCCTGCAGTGGCTCCAGGGCCTGCTGATGTGCTCGGTGCTTGGCAACAACATGCAGCTGCCTCGACGCTTGCCCACAGCACCACGTGTCAGGCGGCAGCATCAGCCACCTAGACGGATGGGGACACTGAGGCACTTGGGCCTGCCCAGGGCCTCCCTCTCTCTCCTGAGGCAGACATGAGCTGCCCTGGCACCCTGACCCACAGGAGCAGCTCAGAGCATGCAGGGCTTGGAGCTCTGAGGGGGCAGCCTGCTCCTGCCCTCAGCCCCCAGGTTCCCGGGGCGGAACCCCAACTCCTGAACTCACAAACGTGGCATGCTGACGTGCCAGCTGCTCTGCCCAGGGCGGAACCAGAGGAGGGAGGCAATCACACCCCAAGCTCTGGCCTGCTCCTGAGGGCCCTGAGCCTGGGGTGACGGTAAACCCCAGTGAAGGTCCCGCCCCACAGATCCTTCCCTCCCTGCTCCACCACCACTAAGCTGGAGCTGGGACTCATAAAGTGGCACCTAAAGACACAGCAAGCAAGAAGAGGGCTGAGCAGCCAGTGATGTGTTTAAAATAACAACCCCTACTCAACAGGAAGTACATCCTGCTCCCTTCCACCCTTCCAAGGCCTCCCAGGCTGCATTCCAGGAACCAGGCCAAGGAGGGGAGACCCTGCTGGGGACAGGGGTCAAGTGCAGTCTCCAAGCAGCATCCCTCTCCGTTTCCCACGTCCTGCCAGGCCCAGGTCAGCAGCAGCTGGGAACCAAGAGCGGTGGCTGCCGGCAGAGGCAGGCCTGCAGCAGCCACCCCTACCCCGGCCGCCCCAAGCCACTAGAGCCAAGTTCTTTCCTCCTGCTGGTACCAAACTGTCCCCATGGACACTCACCCAGGTAGATGTCGCCAAAGGAGCCGCTCCCAATCTTCCGGCCCAGGCGGTACTTGTTTCCCACACGCAGCTCCATGACTCACGCTTACTGCAAAGAGAAGCAAGACAGCAGGCTCAGAAACGGGGTATCAGGCCCAGCGCAGTAGCCTAGCAGCTAAAGTCCTGCCCTTACACATGTCGGGATCCCCTATGGGAGCTGTTTTTAATCCTGGCAGTCCCACTTCCTATCCAGCTCTCTACTTGTGGCCTAGGAAAACAATCAAGGACAGCCCAAAGCCTTGGGACCCTGCACCCGTGTGGGAGACCCAGAAGAGGCTCCAGGCTCCTGGCTTCAGATCAAGCTTGGCTCTGTTGCGGTCCCTTAGGGAGTGAATCATTGGACGGAAGATCTTCCTCTCTCTCTCTCTCTCTCTCTCTCTCCTCTTCTCTGTATATCTGATTTTCCAATAAAAAGTAAAAAATAAAAAAAGTTAAAAAAAAAGAAAGAAAGAAATGGGGTACCGAGAGGGGCCAAGCCTGCAGGAGCCCATCCCTCTCCCACCAGCGGCCACCCTCTGCCCAAGGCAGCCCTGGCTAGGGGAGGGTGGTGGCGGGGGCTGCCCAGAGTCCTGCTCAGATGAGCAGAAGGCCCGAGAGCAAAGGGCCATAGCCCCAGGGCCATGTCCAACAAGCCACTCATCTGAATATCATGCAGCAGGGGCCTCTGGGGGGAGGTTGTTCGCAGGGATCAGCATACTGACTGGGGAGATGGTGCCCAGGTGCCCAGGGCAGGGGCAGCCGGGAGCCAGCCTCTAGCTGCAGAGGCGGAGGACAAGGGGAAGCCAAGTGCCCCCAAGGAGTTCCCCAACCCCTTAAACCTTTGGAAACAACAGGGTGCTCCCCAGCCCTCCAGTTTCTAGCTCCCAAACTGGAGACTAGCTCTCAGAGCTGGCTCCACCATCCTGGCCCTGCCACCCACAGATCCTGGCGAGGTCTGCAGCTGGGGCCTGCCCTCCACCGTCCACCTTCATTCGCTGCCTCTAGCCCAGGGCACTAAGGCCCTCCAGTGCTGGGTCTGCCTCCAGCTGCCTTCCCTCCCACGAGAGGCCCTGCCAGAAAGCCGAGGACATGCAGGCTAAGTGTCTAACCACTGGCCACCATGCGGCAGAAAGCTTCTGACCTGAGCCGTTTCCCTCCTTCCTGCTGCTCGCCCTGGAGACCCTAACCCTGGGGAACACCAGGACCTAGGCACTTCCCACTGCCGCCCGACGTGGAGGAAACCTGAGATGAGGGAGCCATTTTAGCTGCAAGGGGCTGGGGCCAGTGGACTGTGCCGAGGGCACCCTGAGGCCTCAAGTGTGAGACGAGCCAACATGGCAATGACCAAGACAGGCATTCGAGCCCAGAGACGCCACGCCACCAGCCTCCGACCAACGGCAGCAGCATCGCCTGGGGAGCCCTCAGAGCTCCCGCCCCTTGTGGCGGCTCCCACCCTCAGCAACAAGACTGATTTCATGCCAGGCCGAGAGGCCAAACGGGAAGAGGCAAGAGCAGCTGGGCTGGCAGAGGCTCTGGCCTCTGCCCCGTGCCAAGGGTTCCCCAGCAGCCAGACCAACCCAGGAAGGAAGGAAGCTGGGGGGGGGCCTTCTGCCAGTCGAGTCACACGGACCTGAGGACCCGAGCAAGCCATCACGAGCCCGTCCCCAACAGCCACAAGCAAAAAAGCCTCCAGCCTGTGCCAGCCAAACTCTGGGCTCTCAATCAAAGGCCTCTGCCCACAAGCCTGGCCGGCCCAGCTGAGAAACTGTGGCTGCCAGCAGCACACACTCCCCCTATACGCATGGTGCAGCTCCCCGAGTGTGTACACGCGGAGGGGAGATGTGGGAGCCCAGCTGAGAGGGTGTACACACACAGAGCAGCCAGGTTAGAACAGACATACCACATCCTATATTACATAAATACCCATGCCGGGTTATGTAAATATCATGCCCTCCGTCTGAGTATCTTACATAAATACACTGCACCTGACCCCAGCCCCTCTCCCTCTCCCGTAGCTGGCGGGGGGCCGTGGCAGAGTAGGGGGCACACAGCAGGGACCCTTGGTTCTGGGGGAAGGAGAGGCCCAGGCCTGTTGTGAGTCCTGGGGTGGAGGAAGGGGTCTCCCACCGTTCCACAGTTGGGGAGGCCAGGGCCCCAGGGAGGGCCAGGACTTTTCGCTCTCCCCTCCCACCACCCCCAGAGAGAAGAAAGGCTACATTCAGGAAAAAGGGAGAGAGACTTTGCAAGCTTTTAGCTGCTTCTCCCTTGGGGGTGGGCATGGGGAGATAAACAAAGTAAACACACACACAGGCGGGATTCGGGAGTTTCAGCTAGCTTAACAAACAAAACACACAAAAAACCAGAAAACTACAAGCGCGCAGCAACACACACCCAGACAGCTGGGCACTCCCCGCGGGCGGAGCACGGAGGGCACAACCCAGGGACCCTAACCCCAACTCCATCAGGCACCATAACTAGGGGGAAAAGTTGAGGCGGGGCGCACCCCGCTCTGCGTCTGGGGAGGCACAGGGGGGCCGGGGATCCCGGCTCCTTCCTTAGACACCCGGACGCCCCCCACCCCCACAGTTCCTGTTCCTTAGACTGGGCAGAGCAGCCAGGCCCCGTCAGATGCGGAGCCCTCGCAACCCCCAGGCCACCCTCCACAAAGGGAAGCACCCCGGGAGCCCCCAGCCCCTGAGCCGCGCCCCGCGGCCTAGCTGACCCCATCGGGGCTGGGGGGGCCCTGCTGCCGACTGTTCGGCCGCCCAGCCCGGGTCGGGGGCACCCACCCCCACCCCCGGGCAGGACCCCTCCTTCAGGGTGCCCCCCACTACCGCAGCCGCGCAGGGAAAGGGGGGCTTGGAAGAGGGGGTCCGGTCGGGAGGGGACAGGGGGAGGCGGGGACTGGCCGTCTGGAGGTTTTGGGGGGGGACCCCCGACAAGCCCAGAAAAAAAAAACAACAGCCGCCACCCTCCCACCGGTCCCCGGCCGCGCCTTTGTCCTCGCCCGGCCGAGCGAGCGGGCGCCGGGCCGCCCCCCACAGCCGGCGCGAACGCGCGTGTCCGCCCGCCCTCGCTCGCTCGCTCCCTCCCTCTCCCGGCAAAAAAACAAAAGAGGCTGGGGTGGGGGAGCCCCGTTTCCCCCCGGGTTTGCGGCCAGCCGCGGGCCCGCGGAGCCCCCATACTCACCCCGCCGGGAAGGCGCCGGTACCGGGCCGCTGCTCTGGGGGCTGCCGCGGGCGGGGGCGGCCCGCCGGGGCGGATGCCGGAGGATTCGCGGAGCCGCCCGGCGCGCCAGCCTCTCCCGGCCCCACCTCGATCGCGACCGCCGCCCCGCCGCTCCGCTCGGCCCGGCCGGGCTCCTCAGGCTCTGAGCTCTGGCCGCCGCCGCCTCCGCCCGGCCCGCCTGCCCGTCCGCCCGCCCCCGCCGCCGGCTCGCGCGCTCCCGCCCCGCGCGCGCCCGCCGGCTCCCATTGAGCCCCGGGCCCGCCCGCTGATGTCATCCCCGGCCCGCCGCCGCCGCCCCGGAGGATTTAAAGGGCCCGCGCGCAGGAGTCTGAGGACGTTAAGGAGCGGGGCTGCAGTGGACTCCAGCCGGGGAACGCAGGCTTCCGCTGGGTAGGGGAGTTAGGGGTGAGCTGGGGGAGCGTAGTGGGATGCTGACACCCCTACAAGTCGGGATGGGGACACAGCGATTAAAGGGGTGGTGGTATTGGTGCCCCATAGGTGCTCGGGCACTGTTCTGGGGGCGCTGGGCACTTCCCAACACTGCTTGGATCCTGAGGCCAGGGACTACAGGGACAGGGTTGTTGATGAAAGGCCCAGGGAGACTGCCTGACCTCTTAAACCCTGGAAAAATCAAGTGCCAAGACCTTTCTCGTCTCTCCCTGCTGTTGAGACTGAGGGGCAAAGAGCAGACCCCGACACCTGTGGGGGGGAACAGGTGCCATCACCCTCCAAATCCCCGCACCCTTCACCCCATCACCTTCGGGCCTTGGGCTTGGGTTACACGTGGGGAAGCAGCTTTCCCCACCCCCACCCCCACCCTAGGGTCACCGGGAGAATTAATTAAGGCTTCCTAGCAGCTTTGATGAAAGGTTCCCACGCAGGTTATTAAAACAATGATATTTACACTGCACCAGGCCAAGCCTCACATGGCTGACACGCCCAGGCTCACACGCACACCATGGTGACCATGAACTCACAAGACGCCCTGGTGCCCAGCGTACCAGCCGGAAGCACCGTGCCAGGGGTAGAGTCGCTTCTGATAATGGGTCCATCTTCCCGCAAGCCTCAGGGTCTTAGTCACACTCTGGCCAAACAGCTGGGAACCTGGTGGCTCTGGGACCTTTGCCAGGCCAGGAGACCGTGGCCCCTGGAGGGAACAAGCAGCCCCCCAAGACAGCCCTGTTCACCCGGGGTTCCCTGCCTGAGCAGGCCATGGTAGGCCTCAGGACAGCTCCCTGTCCTGTCGCAGCCACTGGATGTACTTTGTGGTCAAGGTCCCTCGGCCATAGCTTCCCCAAGTCCCATCACATGTCTCCCTCTGCACTCTCTCACATCCTCTCTGGGAGGGTCTAGGTTCAAGTCCAGCTCTGTTTTCTCTTTCCAGCTTCCTATTAACCCACTTCTTTAATTTTTTCAATTAATTTATGGATTTTTTATTTCTTGTGTTGTGTTAACCCGCTTGTAAGGAGGCAGCAGTGGACAGCTAGCTCAAGGACCAGCATCCGTGCCACCCATGTGGGAAACCCAGATGGAGCTGCCGGCTCCTGGCTTAATCCTGGCCCAGCCCTGGTTGTTGTGGGTTTATGGAGGGGTGAACCAGCAAATGGAAGCTGTCTCTCTCTCTGCTTTTCAAAATAAGATGCTCTTGTTTCACGGAAGCTTCGCAGGTTAGCTTCCAGGGCAGTAGGGCAGGCTGTGGAAGCCCATAGCGGTGGGGCACCAGCCCCCAAGCACAGGAACTCCTCAGCCTGTCCCAGAAGCCCTGCCTGGCTCACTCTGGCCACATTCTCAGTGGATCCTCTTGCATTTACCCCCAGCTTTATTTTTCTTCATTTCTTTGAAAGGCAGAGTAACGGAAGATAGGAAGTGATAAAGATGGTTCATTTGTTCCTTTCTCAAGTGGTCACAGCAGCCAGCATTGGGCCAAGACAAACCAGAAGACAGGAACTCCATCCAGGTATCCCACATGGGCAGGACTCGGGGCGCCTTTGCTGCCTTCCCAGGCGCCTTAGCAGGGAGCTGGGTTGGATGTCGGGTGGCCAGTCTGCCAGCGTCACCAACCGGTGCCCTAATCAACGTGACAGGCCCCAACCCAGAGAATATGGCCAGGAGAATTCCCCTAGCTGCCCCTCGCCTGCCACACACACACTTGCTGGCCAGATCCAGCTGCCTGCTGCCCTGCATTGGATCTGGAGCACAGGAGCCCAGGCCACTTGGCCAGCCAGCGTGCGGGACAAGCAGGTTCACAGGCAGCCATAGAATGATAGGTGTGATGGGGGTCAGGCGTCAGTGCCCCCACCAAGGGGTCTGAAGGGGCATCTTGGTCCCCACCTCAGCTCCTGCAAGTCTCTCTCTCCCTTGATCTCCGGGAATGAGTGTCAGCAGGCCAGTGCCGCACACCCCTCCAGCCTTCCGGACTCTCAAAGCATCTTGGGGGCAGGGGCTGAAGGCAAGGAGGATGAGGGACCTTCCTACCTCCTGACTTAAAATTCTTACCCCTTCCCACCACCACCCACCTGGGGCCCCTTTTATGGCCACCTGTGACGTAGGCAACCCATCTAGAAATTGGTTCAAGTCTGGTTGCTCTGATCCAGCTGCTGACCACTGTGCAAGGACCCCTGCCACCCATGTGGGGAGACCCAAGTGGAGTTCCTGGTTTCTAGCTGAGGTCTGACCGAGACCTGACAAAAGAGCCAGTAGATGAAAGACCCATTTCTCTCCCTGTCACTGTGCCTTTCAAGTAAATAAAATAAATCTTTATTTAAAAAAAATGGTTCCAAGGGCCCGGAGCAATAGCTCAATTGGTTAATCCTCACCTTGCAAGTGCCGTGAAACCATATGGGAACCAGTCCATGGCCTGGCTGCTCTACTTCCCTTCCAGCCCCCTGTTTGTCCCTGGGACAGCAGTCGAGGACAGCTCAAAGCCTTGAGACCCTGCAACCATGTGGGAGACCCGGAAGAAGCTCCTGGCTTCAAATCAGCTCAGCTCCAACTATTGCAGCCACTTCGGGAGTGAACCAGCAAATGGAAGATCTTCCTCTCGGTTTCTTCTAATTTTTATATATCTGCCTTTCCAATAAAAATAAGTCTTTAAAAGATTAATTTGGAGCCCCTAGGGTTCTGCCTGTTCCCTTGGCAGCCTGGGACCCCTCACCCAGTGAGCTACTTTGAGGAATGTGTTGGGTCTACATGCACCTCATGATTCTCCATGGGAGGAAGACAAGCAGTCGTAGTTATTCTGGGCACCACTGTGTGGCCAGTACTGAGAACAGAGCGTGGCATCCACAAGGCCTCCTGTGAGTACTGGCTGAGCGAGCAAGTGAGGGAGGGAATGAATGGGCTGGGAAGAAAGAGCCCCCACCTATACTCACTGGGGGCTCACCGCCACCTTGAGAGGAAGGGTCAGGTGGCAGACAACGCCCAGGCCGGTGCCCAGTCCCCTCTCAGCAGGCACTGCCTCTCTATTTGAGAGTGCAGGCCCCTGGAGCTTCGTGGCACCATGCCACCATCTTAGAGACAGAGAGATGACAGCCCATGCGGGGAAGGGGTCTAACCAAGTGACAGAGGCTGCATTTGAAGTTGATGTCTTCACCATGGTGGGTGACTGCCACCTTTATTTACTTACTTACTTATCTATTTATTTGGGAGAGAAGGAAGGGGCAGGGGCAACAGCCCCATCCAGCTGCTTCACTCCCCAGGGCTGGGCAGGCTCAAGTCAGGAGCTTCATCTGAGTCTCCCGTGTAGGTAACAGGACCATCTTACACTTGCACCATCTTCTGCTGCTTTCTCCAGGCTATTAGCAGGGAGCTGGATCAGAAGTAGAGCTGCTGGGACTCAAACCAGTACCCATACACTGGGATGCTGATAACATAGCCTTATCTGTTATGCCATAACGCTGGGCCCCTGCCATTTTTTAACCATGTGATACCAGACAAGTTGGTTAAACCCTCTGAGTCTTATTTGTAAAGTATGGGTAATTCAAGTAAAGCTGCAACAGGCAGGACCTGGCATCATGCAGCAATGGGTTAAGCCACTGCACGAGACACATGAACACCAGTTCAAGCAAGTTTTGGTTGTTCCACTTCAGCTCCAGCTCCCTGCTAATTCACCGGGGGAATGCAGGAGATAGGCCAGGGGTCGGCCCTGCAGTCCACAGTAGAGACTTGGATGGAGAAGTCCCAGCTCCTGGCATGGGCCTGGTCCAGCCCTGGGCTGTCGTGGTCATTGGGAGAGGGAAGCAGAGAATGGAAGATTCTCTCTGTCTCTCCTTCTATCTGTAACACTGCCTTTTTAAATCAATCAACCAAAAAATTTTTGAGTGCACAAAAGCAACAGCAAGGAGGCTTTGCCAAGCCACAGGAGGCTGCCGCTGCATCCAGGCCCGGGCAGGAGCAGACCTGGGCCCGGCTCCTGGGAGCCAGTGGCTGTCTCTCTCTTGAGAGATGCAATAGCCCTTCTACAGGGGCTGAGTGGGGGTTTCTGACTTTCAACAAGCCTTGCCCATTGTGGTCTCTGTCCTCAGCGGTTTTGCCAGGTCTGCCCCCTCCTCACCATGCGCCCCGAGGGTCAGCTGCCAGCATACCCCAACACCACCTGAGCTCCGCCAGCCAGAGGATGCTGCCATGGCTGGCTCTCCATTTCTCTCCTCCGCTTCCGCCCCCAACACTGCCCAGGACAGTGCCAGAGCCCTGGCGTCTCCTTCCACATCCTCCTTCAGGGGGACTGGACCATAGGGCCCTGCCTGGGTCACCCCATGGGGGCAGCTGCTCCCTTCTCCTCCAGCTCCAGGGGAGAAAGGCACAGTGCGGATGGAATTCCTGGCCAGTCACTGACCCCTCTCAGTGGTGACAAGATGATTTCCAAAGCTGTTATGTGTAGACCCCAGGAAACCGGAGGACTCTGGGGTCACCCAGCTCCAGGTTTTGGGATAGAGGTTTTCTCTGATCCTGATGTTCAAAATGTGGGCTCTGCCTCTCCTCCCCTCCCCTACAGCACACGTCTTTCTCTTGGACACCATAACGGCCTGGGGGAGTCCAGAAGATCTTGTCCTTGGCCTCTGAAAATATACGAAATGGCTGTCCCCTCCTTGCCCCAGGACCTGCTACATACACAGTCCAGCCCCTCATGCCTCAGATTTCCCTCCTCCCCATTCACTGGTCGTCCATCAGGTCCTCAAGGGCCACTTCCGACTTGTGGCTCAAGATACAACTCAAAGCTACTGTCTCCCAGAAGCCTTCCTGAGTCACACAAGCCTTCAGCGAGCTCTCCTTCCCTCCATCCGTCTCTGCTGGGAACACTTGATTTTGTTGAACCACTGAGGTTGGAAGCACCAGCTGTCTTATTTTGAATGCCCTTGACCAGACGCCCAAAGAGCTCCGTTAACACATGTGGCA